ACACACACACACATACATACATACACACACACGCACACACACACACACACACACACACACACACACACACACACACACACACACACACACACACACACACACACACACACATACACTTTCTCTCTCTCTCTCTCTCTCTCTCTCTCTCTCTCTCTCTCTCTCTCTCTCTCTCTCTCTCTCTCTCTCTCTCTCTCTCTCTCTCTCTCTCTGTGTGTGTGTGTGTGTGTGTGTGTCCCTCTCTCCCTGATATATTTATTTCATTAGAGGTAGTTAGAGTTCTATTACGAAAGAGGTGACTTTTATAGACGACTGAGTGCTTAAACAATACATCCCACGATTTCACAGTCGACTAAGAATAGCCTTTTGTTTAGTACGTTTTGCCTCAGGGTCATTTTGGTGGTGAGGGAGTAAAGTTTCATGCCATGCGGATTTCCGGAGTAGCTGTTTTTTGTTTCAGATTGTGTTTGTAGCAAGTACTTAATTCTAAGCCCTGCCTGTTAATCTGTAAATGACATTGTAGTGACTGGAGTGAGGCTTATCCCAGAATGTAACTTTAATATCTGTCTCGTAAGAATTTGGCTGGATTCCGGAAAGCTCCTTGCTGGTTCTGGAACACTCTGTCTGGGAACGCGAACGGGAATGCAACCGGAAGGGGGGGGGGGATCCAAGCCCCCCTCCCCCGTCATTTGCGAGTTAGGGTCCATAGCTAAGGGGGGGAAAGGGAGGGACTTAGCCTGAGCACTGTGAAGGTATCCATTCTCATTCATATCTTTTCTGCGCTGACTGTGAGGCAAGCGAGGGCAAGACCACACGCGCGCACATGCATATATACACACACGCACATATATATAAACACACACACGCACGCACGCACGCACGCACACACACACACACACACACACACACACACACACACACACACACACACACACACACACACACACACACATACACACACACACGCACGCACCCATGTGTGTGTGTGCTCTCCCAGAAGACAGTCCTAATACCGTATACTCTGGTTACGAACAAGAATAAAACAACAACAAGAAGGGGGAGTGGGAGAGAACGAAGTGCAGAAGAGAGAGGAGCAAAGAGCAGAATGGGGAAAAAAATAATAAGGAAAACAAGGTATGAGAGAGAAAGAGATGGAGAGCAACTAATCCTCACGACTCCGGCGAACACCAAGAAAAACGGCAGTGACGACAGTGACATAATAATAAAAACAAAAATGATGATGATACTGATTGAGATGTCTTTTTCTTCCTCTCCCTGTGTCCTTTTCGTTCTTTCTATGTCTCTCCCTCTCTTCTCTTTTCCAATGTCTATTTCTTTGTAGTTCGCAAAGATGTTTGTCCTGCGCACGGAAAGGGAGGTCGAGGATCTCGTCTCGAACGAGGAGGGGAACTCATCTCGAACACGCAAGCACACACACACACACACATACACGCATACACATACACATACATACACGCGCACATGCACACACACACACACACGCGCGCAAGCATACTCGCTCCACACATTCGCGCGAAACGTTCGAGTGTGGCTGAGTGGTGGCCGTGGCTGAATCTCCAGTCATGTTTGCAAGATTTTCATTTGCGCATTCTGATGAACCTTATTCTTGTTGGCAAACGTAGAACGGGTATGAATGAGAATGAATATCTTCACGAAATGCATTTAACCGGCTTCGAAATGCGTTTCTGACGAAGATATATTCGAATCTGGACAAATACATCCCTTGCATTGTGAATATCATCTTTCCTATTCATACCTTTTCTATATGTTCGCACTCGGTTCAGTTAGGTAGACTTCATTCTGTCATTATTTCTCTAATAACTTTTCTTTTCTGGTTTTCCTTTCTGTTCCTTTATTTCTTCTCCTCTCTCGTCATTTCTTTTCTTCAACAGAACGGATTTTATACGAATTTATACTTTTTTCCTGGTTTACTTGTATTATGCAGTTGCACCATGCAATAGTTGCAGTTGGTGCAGGACAAAGATTCATTATCATTTTGCGCACGTGTCCCCAAAGCAGACAACGCGCATTTTCCTCATTCGGCGAAGGTGGGAGCAGAACTACTCCACCCCGAACTTCTTCCCCCAGAGCTACTCCACCCGCAGAACAACAACAAAAGTCAGGATAACTGACATGCCTACTGTTCTCCTTGGAACTACCGTTAACCATCGGAATGGTTTTTCCGCCAGTTCTAGGTATTAATGTTACTGCTGCCCAACTTTAGGATATGTAACCCCATATCTGGGACCCTTTCAGGTGCTACCTCACTGGGCGAGAGAGGACCTGGGAGCAGTGAGGATTAAGGGGCAGCTCCACTTTCCCCCAAACTCCAGATCTCCCGAACTAGAGTCTCATCACTGGAAGCAGTTTATGGTCATACCCAGGACAACCGACACTACTACGATCTAAAAAGTGACACAGTATTAATAATAAAACGACGTCATGTTCAGATTTTTTTTCCGAGAAGGCGAAAGAAAAAAGGGAATGTCTACTGATCGACAGATTACCTACAGTGATTTAAAATCTAGCATGACGTCACAGAGTCAAACCAACGTGCTTGGAGAAACAAAGAGAAAAGCTGAGGACAGAGATAGTTGGAGGCAACTGCCAACCTCCGGACCCGAGACGGTACTTGATGATCGCACAGCACAATAACACAGCGATTTCCTTGGATACCGAACGAGTTTTCCACAGCAAAAGATGATGAAAATACTAACAACAATAACGATAATAATGGACAGGCAAATAGATACATAAGAAGACAAGAAAATTCGTGAAGGGAGTGGGACCGACGCCTCGGCGCCCAAGATGAAAACGGGAAGCTCCCTCTCGCGAGCAGCTGAAGCGGAATTGAAGGAGAGAGAGAGATAGGGAGGCAGGGCGAGATAAAGATAACGTGTTAAAATATGATCTTATATCAGCTGTTTGTTTATTAAAAGTTATATATATATACACAGGACTTGGATTTTGGTTCCCTCTTTGAATCGAAAAGCAGGCAGTCCGCAGACTTTTATGAAAGTGTTTTCAAGGAATGCCGAGGTTCACAGATGCAGTCTTTACAGGAGAACAAATTCTACAGGTGAACCGATTGTGTTACTTGAGCAGTTTGATAACATGCGAGAAGTAAAACTGAAATCCTTGGAATGGCGGAAGTGGGCAACATTTAGAAAAAAAATGAAAAATTGGAGTATTAATAATATACCAATATATATACATATATGTGTGTGTATGTATGAATACATACATATACATATACATACACGAATGTAATCATATATATATATATATATATATATATATATATATATATATATATATATATATATAAATCATATCATCATCATCATCAGCCTGGGTCAATCCACTGCAGGACGTAGGCCTCTCCCAATCTTTTCCATCTTTGTCTGTCTTGCGTTTTTTGTTCATATATATATATATATATATATATATATATATATATATATATATATATATATACACATATATGTGTGTGTGTGTGTGTTATATATATATATATATATATATATATATATATATATATATACATATATACATATATACATATGTATATATGTATGTATGTCTCATATGCACAGGTGCGTTTCTTTTCCTTACAGCACCAACGACTTTGGCAGATTATGAGCTGACGCTGTATTATAAAACGTTATTTACGTTTCTGATACGTTTAAAACATTGCATTAAGGTGTTAAACTTTGTCTTGTATAAAAATACACTAACCTGACTGTCTGTGCGTATGATACACATACATGCATGTAATGAGAACATATAGACATATACATGCATGCACACATATGTATATCTATACATATGCACATGTTATAATGGTCTCTAATTCAATGTACAGATATCCACTATATTATCTGGAGGTCCAGAGGAAAACTCAGTATCGGTTAACTTTATTATTAACCAGACACGTAGTAGACGGAGATATGAAATGGTAGACGTGGACGTGGCAGATTGGCGCCGGCTTCCTACGGGAGGCAAGAGGGGGAAGGTGTTGCTAGGGTCAGGCCTTGACCCGTTCTGTCTGTTCCTGGGAACACTGGTCATTCCTCCCTTTGCCCTGCCCAGAGGCGGGGCCTCCTGCGGCGGGCCTCCAGGCCCACCTCTCTGTGTATATAAATGTGTATATGTATATATACACACATATGTGTGTGCGTGTGTCTGTATGCATGTGTGTATGTAAATATCTATGTATACACACACACACGCACACACATTTATATAAGTGTGTGTGTGTGTGTGTATAATCGTTTGTGTATTTGTGCACGCACACACAAACACGCCCACGCACGCATATATATATATGTGTGTGTGTGTGTGTGTGTGTGTGTGTAATCGTTTGTGTTTGTGCACGCACGCACAAACACACGCACGCACACACACACGCGCGCGCATACATACACGTGTAGATATGTGAGAGTGTGAATGGGCCTACTGGAAGCAGGGGACCCCGAAAGTGCGGCACTCGAGGCCAAGGCTTACATAAACATCGTTTTAGAATTGCTCGTCCGAAGAGTACGAAGGAAGATGCCAGATGTCCTCCGCGCCTGTTGTTCCCTCTGCGTTTTGCATTCGCGAAACACCTCTGGCCCTTCGCCACACAGGATATGCCCAAATATTTAGCTTTCTGTCATTCGAAGGGTCAACCATAACACATAATGTAAACCGAGAACAGTTGCGTAAAAAAAAGGAAAGGGGATATTGTGGCACCCGTGGCAACACAAGATCTCCTTGTAAGCATATAGTATTTTACCCAAATCAGTGATTGACAGAGACACACTACCATTCAATTCACATCAAAATTTAACCATTCAATTCACATCAAAATTCATCATACGAGTAACTCCCCTTTGCTCAATCTACAGCGCTAATCGCGCTTGATTGAATATTTGCCAAAAACGTATTTGACATGAAATTCTGCCGCTGCCGCTCCTCTTCCTCAGTTTGCCTAAGAACTC